AGTCATTGATCACAATTTGCCGCAGACGTACATTAATTGATTTACTCTTGGAATCAATAAAGAATTTAGCTTTCTGCTTCTCCTTTATGTTTTATTTTGGCTTTCTTATTGTGTACATTCAAACCATAAATATCGATTTCGAAGAAAACAACTAAATGCAATGAGTAAAATTACTCGTATACACATTGCTCGCACAAACAAATATTGTACATTCTTTCTAACGTACTTAATGTTCGAACAAACGTACACTTTTTTATGAAACATAGACAACACATGCTTATAATTCGCGTAATTAGAAAAAACAAATTTTCATGATTATTAGAATTATTTCATTTTATCTTACAAAAAGTATTAGCAATAAATATTAAATGTTAAGTACACAATATGAATCATTCTCAGTGTACAACCGACGGCTGATATAATTGTAGGTTTGTATTAGTTCGATTAAAAGTCCGTAAAAAAACATGTACGTATTATCGAACATGTGCTTTATTGAGTTTCAAAACTTACTCTACAGTATTGTATAGAAAATATTAATAAATTTATAGTATTATTTTATTTATATACTTAAAGTGTATATTTAAATTCTATATTAATGGAATGTTTCTAGTAAAACTTGAAGAAAAAAACATATTATGAAGGCAAACAAATATTTAATTTTATTATTATTGTATTATTTCTCTCTAGAATGAAATCAGGTCACAATAATCAATTATTGGTTGAGATTTATATGCGGCTGTCACTAATTTATAATATATTTCTATATTTTCCATTATTTTAATTGAATATTTAATCTAATGTAAGCAGAGTTTATTGAACAGAATAAAAAGTTTGAATATTTTAATAAAATCGAAATAAAGCTTTTACCAATTTATAATTAATATTTTTTTAATTATTGCATAGCATACGACTGTAATAACAAAAATGGAGTACGTTAAACTTGCAATGCAGAGAAAAATATGCATTTATACTAGAAATAAATGCATATCTTTCTCCCCGATTTTTTTTTATAAATAACATTTGAAAGTATCATTCACTACAACTAATATGAGAATTAAAGTATTAGATTTCATTGTATAATATTTTGAAAAAATATATTTTACTAATTAAATTATTCAATAATTAAAAATCCAAAGATTACTAATAAAAAAATTATAGTACTAATAACAAATGTATTACCAGAAAATGTAGTACGTTAAGCGAATATGTATTAAACGGGCTTTGAATTCTCCTATAAATGCATATATTTATATTTTCTATACATACATATCTCTGGTTCACATGGTCGTACTGTATGTTCATACGAACGTACACGGTTACTTCGGAATGACTTTTGTCGTATTTACATTTGCAAGTATCATACACAAGAAGTAATTTGAGAACTAAAGTATTTGTGATTGCATATTTTCATTTATAAAACAGATTTTTTAAATTAAAATATTCAATAATTAATAATAAAAACATTATAAGAATAATAAAAACGCGATATAAGTATTTTAGTTAAACATATCAACAGAAATAAGTAGTAATTAAAAATGATATAAAATTACGTTTATTTTAAAAATAAATGGAAATAATAATGTATAAAAATAGCAGAAAGTAAACTTTGTTGAACGAATTTACTTTATATTATATATGGCCAATAATATTGTCGAGGAAATGGTTGACGAATCCCTATAAAATCGCACGCCATTCGAATATGCTATAGCGAAAGATGCGTGATCCGTTTTGGAAGGGAAAGCCAATAAATTGCAACTCGTAAACAGGGTAGTGCTTATGTAAACTGCGCTAAAAGTAGCTAAAACGATGTTAAAACTTAACATTCCGTTACAGAATGGACGGAGATAAGAAAAGTTTTCCTGTTGCGATTCCCGAGTAGTTTCAAACTAACTTCCTAAAGATAAAACCAAAAAACTTATTTAAAGAAAAAAATATATATTTCCATAAAACGATAAGAACGTTATTTGATAAATCTACTTAAGTTTTTACATAGAAAACAATTTTTCTTTGCAATAAAATATTTACTCTGATCATCCTTATTCATAATTGCGGATAGGCATATAATCTTATAGTTAATATATCTGTAAGAATAGATAAATAATTGAATTTAGTTGACACAATTTCAGTCGTAAGTCGAAATAATAGAAATTCACTGCGATCTACATCAAAATTAGTAGAATTCTGATTCATCTGATTTTTTTATTTTTTTTATTAACTGCTTAACACTTAAGTAAATAGGAATATTTTTAGTCAAAAAACAGGTGCTAAATATGGCTAATTTGTATTGGCACTATAATTTATATAAATGACCACTTTAAGGCATGTAGAAAAGTGAACTTTGTCACCAAAATGATTTTTTTCAAATACTCAAAGCATGTAGTA